AATCCTATGAATGAGGCACTCTGAAGAGAAACATGGATGTGCATATTTAAGCCTTTTTTGTCTTATGTGCTAAAACCAGGTTACTAGCTAACTACTCATATTTTTATTTTAGAACTCAGGAACTTAAATGAATATTATCTTATTCAAGCAGTGATATATGCTTACTTACGAGTTTCTAAATGGTCTTAAAGGGAGAATAGAAATTTGTGAAATTCTGTAGTCAGGGAAAGAAGAAAAGCACAGTAAGCTTGGGCAGATAAAGAGAAACATATGGTGAAGGGTTGCTTCCATTTCAAAATTAATTTTAGACTTACTAATATGCAAATCCACTGTGCATTTTCGAGTCAGACATTAGAATTCATGAAAGCCAGTGGTTTCAAACCTTTTACATAAGAACTGCTAGATAAAACCTGTAAGTCCTAAATTCTGACTCCCAGAGTATCTTATCCAACTGGTCTTGCAGGGAACATAAAGAAAGGCACACGGGAGCATATTTACAAACATCTCCCGCAGCTACAGCACGGACCCATGGCTCTAGTGGAATCTTCTCATTTTTGGCATGAGGCATCTGTGATCTGAAAAACATAAGTACACTGCCTGAGATCAACAGTTTATAAGCCTTCTCCCAGCAACATCTAAAACCTAAGTATACCAATCCCAGTCTGGATCTCCATAGCATGTTTACATCACTCCCATTCTGGTTAATGGTAGTTAGAGTTCAGCAGATATTTTTTCCCTGCTCACTACTCACTCTCATCCTGGGAAGTGCTTCCCTGTCCTAACAAACTGTTTCTAGTTTCCCTACCTTAAAATATAGTAGTTAGAAAACCTGAGGGTGCCTAAAACCAATATGATGAGTTGGTTCCCTCTTCCTCATAATGCATGTGCTGCCCCTCTCCTGCATGAAATAAGTCTTCAGACAGTTATGAAGACACTGTCCTAGTTGACACATATGTTTACTCCATATTTAAAACATTTATTTGAAACTTTGAACCCCTTAAATCATTCACACACTTTCCAATTTAACATTTTCTTTGAATGAGCTATCCATGTCTTCCAACTTGTTTTCAACACTTGAGAGTCTTTCTTTCATGTATTATAGTCTATTGGTGAGGCTGACATCTGAAGTGTTTTACGTTCAGCTTTATTTTAATCTGGGTTTTCTTAAGTGATCCTATTTCTTTGTTAAGTTCTGATTTTATGTCTTATTTTCATTATTTCCTTAAACTGCTTTTAGATACTTCATTGAGGGATTTATTCATATCATCCTTTTTAAAATTATTGAATATACTAATAATTGCTATTTTGAAGTCCTTTTCTTATCTTTCAGATATATTGCATTTCTCAGGATGTATTGCAATAGAGAAACAGACATCTGGTGGATGGATTTTTTGCTGCTCATATTTGTGTTTTTGCACTGAGATCTATGCATCTGGAGTTATGATGTTTGACATGCTTCTTGGTCTGGATATCTAGTCTTGTCTTCTGGAGTAGATGTTTTATTCTTTGGTTGTTGTTGCCTACTCTGCATCTTAGGCAAATCTAGTGACTGTGGGGTCTCTAGAAGAGAGTGCTTCTGTGGGTTGGTGAGTGACAGAAAGAAATGAAGACAGGCTAGTATGAAAGTTTGAGAGGGGCCTCTGGAAAGAACTCAGGGAACCCTGGGTCCATTCCAAGAGATGGAGTCCCCAGTGAATGAATGTAGAGTGGGAGAAGGGTCTCCTGCAGGCAGACTTCTATGAGACTAACTCTGGAGAGATCATAATAGAGAATTGGAAGGATTTTGAAAATCTCCTACCTGAGTCTCAGACTGGGGTGGCTATTAGTCCCTGGCAAAAAGTGTTTCTGGGGATCTGTGACTGAGAAAGGAATGGATATGGGCTAGAAGATAAGGCTGAGAGGCAAAGAGATAAGCTGGATCTTCATCAAGAGGCAGACTCTCCAGGGAATGGGGGTGGAGTCAGAAGAAGGCCTCCTGTAAGTAGGCTGTTACAGGAATAAAGATGTCTAAGTCATTCACAGTTTAAGAAAAGAAAACATAGCATTTCAATCTGTGCCCAGTTTGACCATATTTTTACTGAGTTCATGCAGTTGAGCACGTGGGACGACTCAGATGTCAGGCTGAATATTCTTTGCCAGATTCTATATAAGATAATACCTTTAGGTTATCTTTCCCAATGCATTCTAAAAATCTATACATGTAGACCTCCTCACCTCCAAATACATTAACTGTCTCACAAAACCTAGCTGAATTCTTGACAGAAAATCAACACTCAACAATTAGTTGCTGAATGAAAACTTCATTTGCTTTTTGTAAGCCATGGAACATCGATCATTAAACTAATACAGGCTAATCCAACAGGAATCACAGTAAGGAAGGATGGCTTTATAAAGTAGCAGTTTCACAATTACTTTATAGAAGAACTTCGGTCTGATTCATTGTGATTATAAATGGGCTGATTAAAGCTTATAATTAATGTACTTATTGATTGTACATTTGTTGATAAGAAAGATGAAGAATTCATGCCGGGTACTGTTGTTAACAAGGGCAACTCCTCATGGCCAATAAGGTTAAGGACTCTAAAAGAGAACCTACTATTCTCACTTTCATAAGCCAGTATAATTCCCAGTAACACTTCAAAGATATATTCTTACAACCACAGATAAATATACCTTTCACCTCTCATTAAAGAAGCTCCATTTTACAGCAAATGAAGACCATTACACAACTGGTCAAAATGCAGAGAACAAATGGCTGTGGGGTGTCTATCCCAAACATATCCATCTGCAACATAACTCTCATACCTAACGCTCAGGGGACATCACACAAGAGGAGGTAGAAACAGCCAATGAGCCAGAGGACCATGACATCTACTTTTAAATAGTATAATTTATGTCTCTGTTTCACTGATTAAAAATCTTAAAACTGTGGTCACCTAAACAAAACTTCACAATGACAACACTAGTTGATATTCCAAAATGAATATGGGAAATCTCCCAAGGCCCCATTCCTAGAAGAAGAGCTAAAGACCATTAGTGGCTGCTAAGGGGGAGAATCACTCTCCATGGATGACCCCTTGATAAGTTATCCAATCTCAGATGGTCATCCCTAAACTTGTGTACACATAAATAACACTAGACAGAATCCACAGAATGTATTTACATAAACACACACATACACACATACACACACACACACACCAATAGATAGTCATTAAAGAAGAAGAGGCCATGAGTTTGAGAGGGGCATATGAGAGAAGTTCAAGCAGGGAAGTGTGGGGCAAAAATGCAGCACTCAAGTATGAAATTCTAAAACAGTAATAAAATAAACATAAATATCAATGAATGTATCAAGTGAATGAGCCTTCTGTTTCCTAGTCTGACTTTCCTAGAGATCAAATATGCATATATGTGGCACAAAGTGTCTAACAATTACAAGGACTAGCTCTCTAGTTCAAATTCTAAGTCATTGCCAGGTTGCAATGACATATTTAGCCATGTTTCGGCTTCATCACCAACAGCACTTTATCACAATGGGCCATGTTGATAAACCAAGGCTCTAAGGACTCTACGGAACTGTATTATTCATTTTCAAGGAGCATGTATTTCTCATAGAGGGAAGTAGCATGTACTAATCTGGCTAAGTAAGACACATGGAAGCCAATCTGTTTTCCTTCCTGACTTCTGCAATGCCTCATCTGAGCACATGAACTATAATCTACCCTAACCATTCTGGAGTGCTTACACGTCTCGTTAATCCATGCACAGCTGTCTCTCTCTTCATTTTGTACTCAATGAAGTTGTCTAAAAATATCTACTCTTGCCTCTACCTATCTAGGTTCTCCTGTGACTTTAAAGCCGTATTTGAATGCACTAGGTACAATCTGTCCTTCTCCCTCCATTTGGGATACAGATGAGCTTACTTTCAAAATATGTTCAAAGTTCTTTACTTGGCACACTTTTTATATGTGACTGAAAGTACTACAGACATGTAGTTAACAATGATAAGTAATAGTCATACCAAGTTTTCTTGTATTTTGGGAAACATAGCCTTACCATTATTAGGTAAGCTTAAACGTGCAGCAGAGGATTATATAGTACTATAAGAAGTAAGCTAGCTAAAAGGGAAGATAATTTGATCCGTGACTATTTATAGATAAGGTGTTATCAAGTAAGTCATTAAATCCCACCATTTGATTTCCTCTTTTGACTCAACTTTACACTCTGATCCCATCTGTCTCCAAGGTGATTTGCCTTTCAGTCCAAATGATAAAAACTATTTTATGTCTTGCATCTAATTTGTGAAGAAATAATCAGCATAAAACACCACTGGCATTGACTAAAATGGTATGCTTAACTATGGTAAAGATTCTTACTGGCCAAAGAATCAATGTTAAAAATCAATGCTGATGTTTGTGCTACAGATATACATGACAAATGATGAATATTTAATCTCCACCGTATAGCTAAAATGAACCGGGGACCATAGGAGAAACAGTATAACTAAAGGTTTGTCTTAAACCAAATGTTAATTAAAAACTGAAACATAGATGGGTACTAAAAGTTCTTAACTCAGGGGCAAGTATATAATGGTAATTCAGAAAAGATGTTTTGGGAGAAAGAAGAAATGAATGAATTATATTCTTCATAAATTTATAGTATAATACTAAAATTTTGAAAACTTGTTTTAAAACAGTCTAATCAAATCTATAGATTGGTAAACTAGATTTGGAAAATTCAATACTGAATATAGCATAAGTGTTGGTGTTTGTTGATTAATTAAACTGATTATAAAGTCATTATTTTTATATTTAATTTCTCCACTTGAAAAGTTAATGAGTTATATCTGTGCTACAAATAATTGAATTGAACTCAAAAGAGCACTTCCTATTTCAAGAACCTCCTACTCTAACAGTTAACTATAATTCATCTTTATAATTCTAAGGAACCTTCCATCAAAATTGACTGACAATCTGTGCTTCCTGTCTCTATTCTGCCAGGAAGAAGATGTTACTCGTGAAAGTCGTTTTAACTTCAGTGGCTATGGGATGGGTCACTGCCTCCAAGTGAAAGATGGCACAGCTGTCAAGGCTACACCTGCCAACCCACTTCCACAACCCCCAAATGATGCAGATGCTATCAAGAAGAAGTTTGTGGATCGTGCAAAAAGAATTGACACCATATCTCGAGCTGCCTTCCCACTGGCCTTCCTCATTTTCAACATCTTTTACTGGATCACATACAAAATCATTCGGCATGAAGATGTCCACAAGAAATAGATGTACCCTGTTGACCCTGGGACCTTCTTGCCTAAGTGTTGTGCTTGTAAATACACAGTAATAGTGTCTTTATATCGCTTCGACAGAGAAGAACATTGAGGGAGGGGGGAGGGAAATCATGAGGGTGGGATTTCTGGCACCTACATGAAAAAAGGCAGGTTCTATGCGCAATGAAGAAAACTGCACAAAATTAAGGTGTTGCAGAATCACATGAGCATAGCTCCCATCCGTAGTCTATAGCACTTGTTCTTTCAGATGACACATCACTCAGACATGATGTGCAAGGTCAAGTTCTCGAGGGCTAATTATCTTTAATTTGGTGAGTTTTGGTTCTGAAAGTTTAGTTTAATGCACGCACACACACACACACACACAGAAAATGCTTACCATCTGACAATAGTGATTAGTATATAGTAAATTGAGGACCAAACTTTTTCAGAAAAATGCTGCCTCATTTTTAAAACAAGCTTCCTGAGCTATGATATTTACAATGTCTGTAATTAGTGTTTCACCCAAGAAATCCTTTTGTGGGTTGTAAATTCTTTCTATGTATCCAGAAAACAACAACAAGATAAACACAAATGACAAAGAACAGATTTCTACTCTACTGTCTGTGTAGGTGTGCACTTTGATATTATTTTTCTTTCCTAGATGTAAACTGGGGGTTTCATTGTGTATTGTGTAATTGATTTACTGGTATATCTTCTTGAAACAAATGCTCATTTTATTTTAGATCAAGTTAGCATACTATGTATATTTTTTCACTTTGGCTATATTTACATGTGACTAAGTGCCCAAATGTAACTTAGCTATCGCTACTGCTAAGCCACAGTATTTATGAAGATGGTGTGTTGTGACTGGTGTAGCTCAGATTAGCTTAAACTTCCCATTTCTGCTCTCCACTGTAGCTGTAACTACTAGTCCTAATGTTGACTGACCTGTAATTTGTACTTTCCAAGTGAATATCGTTTTAACTATCCTTGATTAACTTAAAAAATTTAAAACTGTACTGTGATTTTCATAACCCGTTGCCTTTTTGGTACCAGAGCTACGTGGTTTGAATCCTGGCTACATGTTTTAAGTAAGAAAAAAAAAAAGATGTATTTTTGCTTACTCAAAAGACAACCTGTAAAAATATATGGAAATAATTACATTTTACATGTGCTGTAAAAGGGATTATTTTAAAAAAGCATTTGTTCGGTTTCAATAAAGATAAGTGTGCCACTAAGATATCCAGAGTCTTTCAATTTTTGTACTAAAATGTAAATCATTGGTGTGGCAATAATAACGTGGATGCTTTTGTGTGATCTTCCTCATAAACTTGAATCATTTATAGAGCTAATATACTATTTTTCTTTTTAATATAATTTTGTTATTCTTGAGAATTTATACACATACACAATGAAATATGATCCTCCACAACATCCAATCCCTTCCTCACACTTATTAATACTTTATCCCCAAGGCTCAAAGAACATTATAGAGGAAGAAACAGAAAGGACATAAGAATTGGAGGATGAGGAAGAATGCTATGAACTGCTGTCTGATGAACATAATAGAGTAATAGCTATTATATCCTTGATGCTTATACATGTCAAGATATTTTTTCATTGTATAAATATGGATTTATGTTGGGTAGGGTGACTCACACCTGCAATTCTAGCACTCGGGAAGAAGCGTCAGAGACAGATTATCATGTGTCGAGGGCCAGCAATGTACTGCATGGCAAATTCCAGGAGAGCTATGTAATAAAACTCTACCACAAAATGAGAAAGAGAGAGAGAGCGAGAGAGAGAGAGAGAGAGAGAGAGAGAGAGAGAGAGAGAGAGACAGAGACAGAGAGAGGCAGAGAGAGACAGAGACAGAGACAGAGACAGAGAAAGAGACAGAGAGAGACAGGAGAGACAGAGACAGAAAGACAGAGACAGACAAAGAGACTGAGGCAGATTTTCTGAGGCAGCAAGACAGAGACAAAGAGACACTAAGACAGAAAGAGAGACAGCCAGAGACAGACACTGAAACAGAGACACAGAGGCAGACACACACACACACACACAAACACACACACACACACACACACACACACACACACACAAACACATAAAGGGAGATGAGTGGCATTAGCAGTAGTAACCAATGTGAAGAAAATTTAAAACTGGGTGCTTTATGTGAGACATGGAAAGTTTCCAAGCCACCGACAGTGAAATGAAGCTTAAAAGATCAACTGTTCCTGTTACCCATCCCTATTTCCATCAGAAATGAGGGCTTAAGACAAAAGAAAACTTCTGAGAACCTAAAGGAAATAGAATTAACTCATTCTAACCTTGCAGATTTTCCATAACTAAAGTGATGTTCAATAATATTCTCAAGACGCTCACTCATAAGTGAATGTTTGTGGCCTTGAAACTTACTTAAAAACTGAAACATCTATACCGAGAAGGATACGGCAAAGTGGGCAACAGTATGAATTTTGCAACAGAGACTAGCTCAGATGTCTACTAATGTTGTGATCTTAAATACTTAACTTCAAATGGTTCATAGTTTCAAAAGGGCTAACTAAGGAAAATGAAGTTGAATCCGTTATTACCATGCTTAACCCATAAATTGTCAAAAGCCAATAGATAGTAGAATAGCAGCTATTAAGAATAATATAGTAAATTGTCCATTTCATCCAGATTTTCCAGTTTTGTTGAGTATAGGCTTTTGTAGTAGGAGCTGATGATTTTTTGAGTTTCCTCAGTTTCTATTGTTATGTCTCCCTTTTCAAGAAGTTCTGATTTTATTAATTTGGATACTGTCTCTGTGCCCTCTGGTTAGTCTAGCTAAGGGTTTATCTATCTTGTTGATTTTCTCAAAGAACCAGCTCCAGGTTTTGTTGATATTTTGTATAGTTCTTTCTGTTTCTACTTGGTTGATTTCAGCCCTGAGTTTGATTATTTCCTGCCATCTACCCCTCTTGTGTGTATTTGCTTCTTTTTGTTCTAGAGCTTTCAGGTGTGCTGTCAAGTTGCTAGTGTATGACTTTTCCAGTTTCTTTTTGTAGGCACTTAAAGCTATGAGTTTTCCTCTTAGCACTGCCTTCATGGGGTCTCACAAGTTTTGGTATGATAAGGCTTCATTTTCATTAAATTCTAAAAAGTTTTTAATTCTTTATTTCTTCCTTGACCAAGTCATCATTGAGTAGAGCGTTGTTCAGTTTCCACGTGTATGTGGGCTTCCCACTGTATTTGTCATTATTAAAGACCAGCCTTAGTCCGTGGTGATCTGATAGGATGCAAGGGATTATTTCAGTCCTTTTGTATCTGTTGAGGCCTGTTTTGTGATCAATTATATGGTCTATTTTGGAGAAAGTACCATGAGGTGCTGAGAAAAAGGTGTATTCTTTTATTTTAGGATGAAATTTTCTATAGATACCTGTTGAATCCACTTGGTTCATAACATCTGTTAATTTCATTGTGTCTCTGTTTAGTTTCTGTTTCCACGATATGTCCTTTGCTGAAAGTGGGGTGTTCAAATCCCCCACTATTGTTGTGAGGTACAATGTGTTTTTTGTGCTTTAGTAAAGTTTCTTTTATGTATGTAGGTGCCCTTGCATTTGGAGCATAGATGTTCAGAATTGAGTTCATCTTGGTAGATTTTTTCCTTTGATGAGTATGAAGTGTCCTTCCTTATCTTTTTTGATTACTTTTGGTTGAAAGTTGATTTTATTTGATGTTACAATGGCTACTCCAGCTTGTTTCTTGTGACCATTTGCTTGGAAAATTGTTTTCCATCCTTTTACTTTTAGCTAGTGTCTGTCTTTGTCACGGAGGTACATTTCCTGTATGCAGCAAAATTCTGGGTCCTGTTTATGTATCCAGTCTGATAGTCTACATCTCTTTTTGGAGAATTGAGTCCATTGATGTTAAGAGATATTAAGGAAAAATGATTGTTGCTTCCTGTTGTTTTTGTTATTAGAGGTGGAATTATGTTTGTGTAGCTATCTTTTTTTTGGGTTGTTGGAAGATCTACTTTCTTGCTTTTTCTAGGTTGTATTTTCCTTCCTTGTGTTGGAGTTTTTCATCTATTATCCTTTGTAGGACACATTCTTCCCACTTTGGCACAAATGCATTTTAAAAATCACAAGCAAGGCATTTCCCTCAAACTAAAGGCTGTTTAGAAAGTATGTTTATACACTGATGAGCCAGCATTTAGCGCAGATGATTCTGAAATGAGGCACATACATTTAAAGAGTGAAGCAAAGTTGTGGTGTGCCCTTTGCATAGTGTGCTGAGTATTGGCCTTCTTATGGTCAGTCTCCTAGTTGTTTCTGTTATGCACAGACTGCAGCTTCACTGTTGCCCCATGTCCTTAGAGCCATGGAACCAAGGGCCATTCAGATCAATGATCAGAAATAACCCAGAGTTAAATTCAGTAGCTGCTGTTTCTTGAGGTGAAAGATCAAGAATTATAAGGAAGGAAAATTAAATAACTGGAGGATAGTAAACTGAAATTCCCCTTTAAGACAAAAATCAAATCACACCACTCACTTTGGCCTCTGTTGGCTTTCTGTCTTACTCAGGAAGCAAGCCAGAGTCCTCAGTGTGATGATATGATAGAGCCTGCCTTCCTACCATGCACACCTGTTTCTTTCCCTTCAAACATCAGCACCTTACTAGTTCTTAAACAGACAAAGTGCTCTCCACAGGACTTTTATCTTCATTATGGCAGACTATTTTCCTAGAGCAGAAGTTGACAAGCCTTTTCTGTATGGAATTGACAATAAAGGGTATAAGTCTTTTCTGCAAGTACTCTTCTCTGTGATCTGTAACAAAGAACAGTCACAAACGACAAAGAACCAAATACATGGGACTGTGCTCCATTAACATTTTTCTCTAAAAGAAAGTAGCAAACAGATTTGACCTGCAGGCAATGTGTTACCAACGACCCATTCTGTTACACACATACACACACACACACAACACATACACACAGGCACATGCACACACACACATGAACAC